CTTTAGACATGGCACACTTAATTATTTTAACATATTTTAAATCACCAATTTAAAGTTTTTGCTTAGTCTTTATCCAATGTTTAAAATGCCTCAGGGACATTTTCTATTGACTGCTTTTTTTCTTAACTATGAGTATACTTCGTTGTTTATTGGCATGCCTCCCTCTTTCTTTGTTGGAGCATGACATTTCAAATAATGTGACAACTCTGAAAATACTTTTCTCTTCCCCCTCCAGAGTTTGTTATTGCCAACTGCTGTTGTCATTATTTATTCACATTTTACTTATGGTTTTTCTGAACAAATTCAGAAAAAATTAATATAGAACATTGTGTATTCAGTGTTGTTGTGGCCACTGATGTACTTGCTCAGTTAGCCTGTGATCATCTAATATCTAAGCAGAGAGTCCCCTTAAATGTTTAGAACCCATAAGCCTCTCAGAAGGGAGCCTCTTGAGAAGGGGCTCTGTGCATGTATTGAGGCATCCTCTCAAAATTCAGCCAAACAGTTGACAACTCTGCCTTAGCCTTCACATTCAGCTTAAGTGGTACCTCAAGATTAGCAATGAAGCAAGAACACAGGGCCTTCTCGGGTTTTCACTGACCATGTATAGTAGCTCTACAAAAGTGTGCATCCTTCTGAAATTTCAGGAATATGTTGAAACTTTTTAAAGCCCCCTGTGGATATCTTGTTCCTGAGTTTTTCTTTTCAAGGCCCAATGTTGTTCACCCCTGACAGTTGCTCTATTAAACAGTTACCTCTGCTTGTTTCCAATGAGTGACCCTGGAGAAAGGATATTCATACTGGTTGAACTCTGAGTTGGATTAAAGATGGTCTTGCAAGTGGGGTATTCCAAGGAATTATCAGACTGTTCAAATTATGACAATTTTTTGAGAATTTGGCTTTAAAGTAGCTTCAATAGCTTTCTGTTTCTCTGTCTCTTCCAGTAGCTGTCAGGCTGCTTCCCCCCACCCCCACCCCATGCCTAAAGGCTGTTGGTTTTCAAGGTCACTAATGGCTCTAGATGAGAATAGGGCAAGCTAAAATGCCACCTAGCTCAGGGCTAGGAGTTTCTCTTTTGTGCTTGTTACACTTGTATCTAGATGTCCCCTCAAAGCCTCAAGCACTCATAGGTGGGACATTTCAGAGCTGGGTGGATCTAGGGCGTGTGATACTGGGATTAAGGGTGTGTGATACTAAATTAGTCCACTGATTGGAATTAGCATAGTTCTGGGTGTGGATAATGGGAAGGCCCACCAGGGTGGGTGTGGCACCACCCAAAAGGCTTGTAGCCTGGATGGGATAAAAGAGAAAGAGGACAGGCTTGCTGCCTGCTGTGGCTACTTGCTTGCTTGCTGCCTCCTGCTTGCCATACCATGGACTGTTTCTGCCCTATGATCCCCTCTGTGGTGCTACCCTACCCTGGAGCCAGCTGACTATTGGCTGAAACCTCTACAAACTGTGAGCTAAAATAAACCTTTCCTCCTTTAACTTTGGGTGTTGGGTATTTTGTCTCAGCAATGAGAAAAGTATCTAAGACAGTGCTCTCTATAGACAAGATTCCTCTCACAGTCTTTGGTGGTTCAATCAGGTGACACAGTATGGCCCACTGTGGAAAAAGGAGTCCTTGGGAAGGTTACACATAGGATATCTCTCTGACCTCCAATGTTCGCTTGTACTATTTTTTTTCCTTGCTGCACCATATCCTTTGCTTTAAAATAAAAGCCTAGGTGAATAAACTCTGGTGAATCCTTTCAAATAACCCAAGTGAGGAAATCATTGCAATGGTATAGTCACATAATACAATGCTATGCAGCTGTAGAAAATTATGTGGAATGTACCTTTGGGCAGATATGAAAAGACAGATGAGATACACTGTTCAATAAAAATGCAGGTGCACAACTGCAACATAGTATACTAACTCTGAGATGGAAGTAAAGGAAAGAAATACAATGGTTAATATTCATATTTGCTTGATATGCATACTGAATGCACACATGAAAATTTAAAAATTACTATGAAAGAAAAGGATATAAGATATCTATATAGCTATAACTTTGTGAAATAAATCAGATGCACAAGGTTAAATATTGCATACCTTCTTTTACATGAGAAATCCAAAATATAAATAAAAAAGACAATAAAAAATAGATAATAGAAAGTAGGGAAATAAAGCTTTCTCAAATGGGAAGGGGATCAAGAGATTAGGGGTTGGAAAAAGAATTAAGAAGTGTTACATAAATGTACTGACTTCCCACAAGAAATGGAATCATTATGCACTGCAAACATATACATGGATTTTTCTCTTTTTTTGCTACTGGGGACCGAACTCAGGACCTTGTGCTTGCGAGGCAGGCAGTGACACCACTAAGCTAAATCCCTGGCCCTTACATGGATTTTTTTGTTTTGTTTTCGTGGTACCAGGGATTAAACTCAGGACCTTGCGCTTGTGAAGCAGGCGTGGTGCCACTGAGCTAAATTCCTGGCCCCCCTTACATGGATTTTTAAATGTATGAATATATCACCTATCCAAAAAATTGAACTTTAAAAGTAAATAATAAAGAAAAATTAAGTCATATGACCCAAGAAGTCTAATAAAGTATTATAAGGGTTTATATTAAGTATGAAGAAATAAAAGTGGAAAAATAATAGACATGCTGAAGCATAACATAAACATGCACAGCCAAAGTAAATAGCGGTGCAAGATGCAAAGATGAAGTTTCACTGGATGGCATGTAAAAGACTTGTGTTATTGTTTTAAGGTTATTGGTCAGGATTTTTGAACACGGACACTAACGACATTTCAGGCAGGGTAATTTGTTGTTCTAGGAGGCTGTTTTGTGCATGTATGGTTGTTTAGTAGTATTCCTGTCCTCTGCACACTAGGTATCAGTCACACTCCCCTAGGCCAGTTGTGACAACCAAAATTATCTCTAGACATTGCCAAATGGGGAGGAGGCACCAAAGTTGTCACCAGTTGAGGAACATTGCTTCAACTCATCTGAGTAGGAAGTAGATTTTATGAGCAGTTTATTAAAATTTGTTTCAAAAATTTCTAGTGAATATTTTCCTGGAAAATGGTCTATATTCCAGAACTACTTTGTCATTGAGATGGCAAATATTTTGTATTCTTTTCCAGTTCTAAAGATTGTTATCATGATCCTGACTTAGCCAGGATGCTATTTTCAACTTCTTTTGAATAGCACTGATTTATCAGAAATATTTCTCTTTTCATAAGATATTTAAATTGCTGAACCATTAGAGGGTCTTATTACTTTGAAACATTTTTAGTGTGAGCCCATCTCCATTTCTTTAATAATGTTAGAGAAAAGGAATTAATGCTGGTGTCCATGTGTATATTTTTTACTAGTTTCTTAAATATGATTGAGGAAAGAAACGTGGCTAATGTGTTGAAGTGATCCTGTTACTTCTTTCCTCTTTTTTTCTTTTAACCTAACCTCTGGAGTCTGGAATCCTTAAAAATCCTTCAAGAAATTGTCCAGGGGGTGATAAGGCCATGGTTCGTGCTTTAGCTCCACATCTGTCACAAGTCCCATCTGCTGACCTAAACCCAAGAAGCTGTGCTATTCGCAGTAGGTCACAATTCTGGCAGTGCAACTTGTGGCAGGTCTGTAGAAATAGCAGAAGCCTCTCCCTCGGCTCTGCCCAGGATCTTCTGAGAGTCATGCCTCTAGTCATAATTATTTTTAAATATGATTGTCCTGTTACTGACTGAAGCAAACCCAGCCTGGAACCTTGAGATGACTCCCAGATTACAGCACAGAGGGCTTGTTCCACCTCCTCGGCTTGTTCCAGAGGGTTTTGTTGTAATTTCAGTTCCAAGAGAAGGTAGGCATGCATTTCTCAGGACTAATCGCCGTGGCCTTCCCGGTTTCTGAACTCAGGTGAAAGGGTTTCATCTCAGCAAGACAAATCAAGAAAAGCAAGAAAAAGAGCCTGTTTTATAGCTGCAACAGAAAAAATATTTTTTACTTTAAAAAGCTGGAGTCTAAAGACTGGATACTCTGGAATGGGTCTTAACTACCCTCTCTTTCTTCCCGGGTGCCTCCGGATCCTTGCCACCATGTGTGCCTGCGTGCGTGCGTGCAGACTCGGGACTCACCGCGGACAAGCCTGGGAACTCCCCCTGGCGCAACAGCTAAATGGCAAGCAGATGGCTGGCATGCCAGAGACCTCCATCCCCGCGGTTTCCGGATGGGAAGACTGGGAGCTGGGTCGTGGCATCCTCTGCTGAAATGAGCGAGTTTCGAAAGCAGGAGTCCCCTTTCAGCAGGCGGGGATGCGAAGAGCCAGACTAGAGTCCAGAAAGGGAAGCCCCCGCCACGGAAGGTTGTGGGCGCTAAGAGGCGCTAACCTGTCACCCACTTCAGAGGAAAGGCGTCCTTCGCCCGCCCTTCGCCGGTGAGACGCGGACGCCGCCTTCTCCAGCCCAGCTTCTCAAGCTCCAGAAAGACTCCAGGACTCCCCTTGTTTCCAAGCTCTCCATCGCTGCCTGGGCCGCTTGTAGCCCGGGCTCATTCAGGAGGCGAATTTGGGGCCACGGTGTTGGCCTCAGGTGTTTGGTATGGCGGCGAGGCCGCCCCTTGCAGTCATTTCAGAGCGAGTCCCCGCAGGTCCCCGCAGGTCCCCGCAGGTCCCGGTCCTCCAAACCCCACCCCATCTCCTGGCACACGGAGCTCCGGACAGTGGCCGAGCAATTGTGTTGTTGGTAGCTCAGCTGTGGTCAAGGAGACGAGGTGCGTGGCATTCGAGGTTTCCGACAGCCCCTGAAACTAAGGCGCATCTCCGGAGGTCCCGCTAATACAAACAACGCGTTAGAGGAGCCCAGATTACAGTTCAGCGGGACCGCTCCTCCCGCGCGGACCCTGGAGCCCCTTCTGCAGCGGCTCCTCGGACCCTCGGGACGCGCGCCCTGGGGCCGGGTCCGCCTCTCCCGGGCTCTGTGGGGCGGGGTGGGTGGGCAGGGACCTGGATCTGATTAACTGGGAGCGGGAGCCGCTCGCTGCCGTCTCTGTCCTCCCAGACTGCTGAGGAGGAGGAGGGACGGTGCGAGAGGAGGCGCGCGGGTCCCATCACCGACACCAGCCTCAGGGTTCGCCGCCGCCGGCCCGCAGTCTGCGCCCCGCGCCCCTAGCCCGCCATGGGGCCCCCGTCCAGCTCCGGCTTCTTCATGAGCCGCGCAGTGGCCCTGCTGCTGGCGGCGCTGGCCGTCGCGCTGCTCCTGGCGCTCCTCGTCCTCGCCGCCCTCTTCGGCCTCTGCACGCGCGCCCCGCTGTCGGAGCCCTGCAGCCGCTGGGACCCGGACGCCGCGCCCTCTGCCCCCGGCGGCCAGGAAGAGCTGGCGCCGACCCCGAAATCCGGCCCTGCACCGGAGCCGGCGGTGACGACCCTCCCGCCCGACTGGAGACTACCTGGGCCGTGGGACCAGCTGCGCTTGCCGCCCTGGCTAGTCCCGCTGCACTACGACCTGGAGCTGTGGCCCCGGCTGCTGCCCGACGGGCTCTGGGAGCGGAGGCTGCGCTTCACCGGCCGCGTGAACATCACCGTGCGCTGCGTCGCGGCCACCGTGCGGCTGCTGCTGCACAGCCTCTACCTGGACCACGAGCTCCCCGAGGTGCTGGGTCCCCTGTCGCCCGGCGCCAGGGACGCTGCTGCGGGCCGCGTGCCGGTGCAGGACATGTGGTTCGCCGTGGACACGCAGTACATGGTGCTGGAGCTCGGGGAGGCCCTGCAGCCCGGGAGCCTCTATGAGCTGCAGCTCCGCTTCACGGGTCCTGTGTTCAAGGGAACCAGGGAGGGGCTCTTCCTCAACGTCTACTCGGACCAGGGAGAGCGCAGGTAAGGGCCGGCCGGCGGGGCCCTCGGCCTCCTCCTCGAGTCCCGAGCAGGCTGTAGGTCCAGCTGTGAGTCCTGCCCAGGCTCCTGCCTTCCCTTTAGACGTCTTCTTCCAGAGCTGCCTCCTTCTCCCTGTTCCCTCCAGAAACCTTACTCGGAATAAAGGCTTGGAGCCCTAGGCCCTCCTCTGCTTCGTGTCCCCCTCTATCCTTGTTTGCCCAGTTTGTCCCCATTTGTGACCCTTTGAGGTCGCCGCTACCTCAGAAGTTTAGCATTTTGTTTAGAAAGCCCCTTTCTTCTCCAGCCCCGAATTTCTTCACCCCTGCTACTCAAAGCTCAGTGCTTTCACCAAGAGCAGTTGTAGTGCCTGGGAACTTGTTGGAAAGGCAGACTCTCAGTGCCCGTCCCTACAGCGAATTAGAATCTAAATTTTAAGGCGACCTCGCCACCGCGGTATAGCTCTCTGGGCGCTGCTGCTCTGGGGTCCGAGCGCGTCCTGCTTTGGGTTGGGGGCGCCCTCTCACCTCTGCTCCGGCAGCAGTGTGTCCACGCGGGGCTGTTTCTGTGTCCAGGTAAGGCTAAGGCTCTCCAAAACTTCGGGGTCGTCTTTGGGCATCCTCTCTCACTCTCCCGGGACAGGACGCCTCTCCTTGGCTGCCTTGTGGGGTACCCTGGCCGTCTGTGCTGCCTGTCAGTCCCTGCAGCGCGTCAGAGCCAGCGCTTCTGGCATTTCTCTGCTGAAAAAAAAAAGGGGTGTGTGTGTGTGTGTCCAGAGATCTGTTCTCTGGGTCTGCAAGTCCAGAGAGTATACATTTGTTCTTTTTTACACTCGTGTGAGGTATTGTCTCTCACAAGGGGTATTTCCAGTCCCAGATCGAGAATTGCCTCTCTCCACGCTACTGAAATCCAGTGAACGCTGAGGAAATGCTTATGTGGAAGATAACAAAAGATGTGTGTGTGTGTGTGTGTGTTGTGGTGTGGCTTTAGTTTTTAAACCAGCTGTCCTGCTGTCCTTTCCTTCACGTGGTGGTGTGGTGGGAAATTCGGTTTGCACAACTGCATGTACTTTGCCCTTTATTCTTAGAGAAAATGTTCTCAGAGGGGGAAAACCTCACTAAATTACCCCATAAACCATCTCTTGCACTTTCCCCCTAAAGTTTCAAGGGTTTTATGTAAGTTTAACGCACTGCTTTAGAGGGTGTGTGATCAGTAACTTTTGTGTTTTAGGACCACGTGTTTAGTTTTTCTCTTTCAAAATTACATCAGTTCTTGAAATATAGTTTGAAATTTCTTGCTAGTATGTGTTACCCAACATGTACACTGAAAACCTTTTGAACTGAGAGGTGCAAGATCTTTTCAAAGCAAAAAGAATGGGAACTCTTTGCATCCATATCTGGTTTTTAGTTTTCTACTGTTGGTTGGTAAATCTTATGTTCCTCCATCTCTTAGTGGGACTGTGACCCAAAGTAGTAAACAAAGGAAAGGAAAGTACCTTTGCATTTTTCTATTCCACCAGCCAACCCTAGCACTAACAAGAAATCATGTTTCAGGACATTAAAACCAAGGAAGAGCTCCAGAATTGGGGCATGTGGGGAGGGCTGTTACCAGGAAGTTGTCGCTTGGGTCTTGCGGTCTGAAATTGCAAGGACAAGACATCTGTAGTTAAATTTGAAGCCAAGGTCACAAAGAACTTGGACAAATGTGTTAATGTAAATTTGAGAGGCCTAACAGCTGTGTGAATTGAGCCAGCATCTTTGGTTTTCCGAGTCAGTTTCCTCATTCATGGACTAGATATAAGAATTATCCACTTTTAAGGTGTTGTGAGAATGGAATGATAAAGGAGGTGCTGACACTGACAGCTTGGGCAGTGGTACCTGTTACCACTAGGTCAGGTTATCGTTAAGAGTAGCTCCTAGTTATCTAAACATTGGACCTGCCAAGTTCCCAATCCATGAGTCAGTTGAAGATTTCCAGATGGAAAGAAGCCAAGGGTTGAAGGTGTGAGGAGCTATCACTTAATAGGGATAGCATTTTAGTTTTGCAAGGTGAAAAGAGTTCTGGACATTATTTGCACAACAATGTGAATGGACTTAGCACTATTGAATTACACAGGTTTTTTTTTTTCTTTTGAACTGGGGACCAAACTCTTGCACTTGCCAGGCAGGCATGGTGCCACTGAGCTAAATCTCCAGCCCTTGAATTAAATTAAGTACTTTAAAATGGTTAAGATCATGAATTTTATGCTTCATTTACCAAAATTACAAATTTTAAAAGCTCAAATTTGCAATCTTTCTGCTTCCACCTCTCAGAGTTCTGGTTGTTCCTCCTTTTATGATTAGCATTGCTCTGCAATTGTTATGGTTTCTAATTCATAGACTAGAAGTGACTTAGGCCATAAGTCCTAAATAGTGCACAGGGTCCCTGTGATCCTTTTGAGGCCAAAGGATATGTAGAATTTCCCATATAGTTGAGGATATTGACAGGAGAGCTATAAAGAGGCCATGATACAAAGGATCAAAGTAACTGTTGTGGTGAACATTGTAGAAGTGCTTCTCGAGATTTGCCCTAAAGAAAGGTGTAGCCAGGCTCAGGTGGCTGGCTATGCAAGCAAGATCCCAGATGAGGGATTCATCATTAGTGGGAACTCCTGAATCTGTTTTGAGGGAATGGCTCACTGGTCTGCACACCAGTTCAGAATATGTGGTCACACCAGGCTGGTGAGTCCTAGAAGTACATTCCTTCCAAGTAGTCTACTCTTCCTCTCCCTTTTTCAATATGGCATTTGAATGTAAAAGGAAACATTTTTTTAGTCTTATGTTTTAAGGAAATACAAGAGCCCTGAAAAGGAGTTTGGTTTTGAATTGACTGTTTCCCTAATATGGTTGATTTAAACCCAGTAATAACAAAGAACCTTTAATTGGTAAGCTTGCATTTTTTTCTGTACCATCCATGAAAATACAGGTTCCAGAATATGAAAAGAGTAGTTTTAAGACCATTTGTTTTACCCATCTGCATTTGAGAAAGTAAATTTTGGTGATACTCTACAATCCTTTCCAAGTAAAATAAATATATCACCCCAAAATGACTGGAATTGTAACATTCTGATTCATCCATGGCTTCTAAACAAGGATTCCATAATACACTGCACCATGAAAGTGTATTTTGTACCAACTGTTCCTGACCTTTGGAACCATTGAGGAGGACATTCCTGCCCTGAAAGCCAATTACTCAGCTTCCTGAGGTTTGTTTAGTCATCTGATAATAGATGCATTGAAGAGAAAAGAAGTTCATGGTTTTTTCTTTTCCTGTAAGAAATGTACAAATCACTTGACTAGTCCCATACTACAGAAGGGCTACAAGTTAGCTTTGGGCATTATAAAGAAAGAAGGTTTTTCTGAAATATCTCCCTGAAGGTAAAATTAATTACACAGGTACTGAGAATATTTGGGGGCCAAAGGTGGTTTATTTATTTTAGGTCTTCTTGAACTACTTTCAGCAAGATTTTATAATTTTCATTATACATACATTGAATGCTTTGTCAGATTTATCCCTAATTCTTTCATATTGAATCTATTATAAATTATATTTTTAAATTTTGAATTGCTTTTTGCTAGTTAATTTTTGTATATTGATCTTGTTTGCAATAGGCTTATTAAGCTCATTTAGTTTTGATAACCTTTTATTTTGTTTGAAAAACTTTAAATTTCTATTACATTTTCTACATAGATAATCATACTGTTTGAATAGAGATGACTTTACTTCTTTTCTAATTTAGATGGCTTTTATTTTTTATTTTTTTTCTAAGTTCTTTTATTGGTACATTTTAGGTATACAATACATTTACATTTATCATTGGGTGCTTGTACCTGTACATGGTATATCTTGGTTCTTATTTTTTCCCCATTGCCTGTGTGCCCTTCACCTGCTCCACTCTTCCCTATTTACACACATATCATTTCCATTTTTTTTTCTTTTCTCATAGTTTTTCCTTTCCCTCCTTTCCTTTCCCTCCCTTCACCCCTTCGTCTTTGGACCTTTTTTCCTATTTCAAATTATCAGTTCTTCGTTTTAATCATTTTAACCCTTGTTTACACTATCAGTTTCTCACATTAGTGAAACTATTTGGTATTTACACATGCGTGTCCTATTTATTTCACTTAAGAGTATGGCCTCAATATGCATCCATTTAGCTATAAATGACTCTAGTTTTTCATTCTTTATGGCTGAGTAGTACTCCATTTTATAAAAAAACCCCACATCTTTATCCAGTTTCCAATTGATGGGCACTTGGGCTGCTTCCAAGCTTTAGCTATTACAAACTGTGCTGCTATAAACATGGGTGCACATATATCACTGTGGTATGATTCTTTTAATTCTTTTGGGAAGATAACCAGCAGGGGAATAGCTGGGTCAAATGGGACCTCTAGTCCTAGTTCTTTGAGGTATCTCCATACTGATTTCCACAGTGGTCGCACCAGTCTGCACTCCCACCAACAATGGAGAAGGGTTCCTTTCTCCCCATACCCCCACCAGCATTTGTTATTGGTTGATTTCTTGATAGCAGCCTAGATTACTTTTATTTTTATTTTTTGCCTTATTCCAATGTATATTGCCTCTAGTACAATGTTTAATAGAAGAAATAAATCCAGGCATCCTAGTTTTCTCCCTTTACAGTGAAACCATTCAGTCTTGTAATTTTCCACATGAGTTTTTCTTCTTTTTTCTTTTTGGTAGTAACTTTTGATTAGATTGAGAAGTCTCCTTTTATTCCCAATTTTCTAAGTTTTATAAGAAATGAATGTTAGACTCAGTCAAATATTCTGCAAGTATTGTGATAATCATATGTTGTTTAGTTTCTAATATGGTAAATTACAGTACATTGATTTTTCTAAAGGTAAATCAATCTTGCATTCCTGAAATATATCCCAGTTGGCCTTTATACTTTAGCCTTTCTATATGTTATGATTTGATTTGCTAAAATTTTATTTAGAATTTTTGCATCT